ACGTTCCATTGGCGGGCGATACCAACATCTCCAGACCTCCCCTCACCCAGCATTCCCGGATTGCTAGAAAGCGCGCGCTGGGCTAGAACACCTACCGTTGGTCGACGACATTCCTGATCTCGCCCAAACCGTCCTCGATCACAGGCCAGGAACTCACCTGAAGGCCTATTTCTCCGAATTCCCCAGCGACTCGATTTGTTGTGGTACTGCGATACTAAACCCGGCCGCCGGTGGAAGAGACCCGAAAGACACATAATGCCCCCCTTGCGACCTTGGGCAACCATTTTCGAAGAGTTTCATTTACAGCAGAGTAGAATGTCATCGACAGTATTCTCAATGCTTCCCACGTCACTACAGGCGCGGCTGCCGCTGCCGCCAATAAAACAGCTCCGCAAGACTGTGAGCCTACAAACCCTCACCTCCAGCAGGCAATCGCATACCCGTTCCCTCTCTGGCCTCGACGGCGTCCATTCCAACACCACCCAGTCCCACATCATTTCGGAGACGGAGGAGCACACGAGGCTGGTGGCAACCGAGCACCATCAGTCATCGCGGACGTACGAGGTTCGATCGGCTGCGGACAAGCAAGAGTATCAACAACAGCAAAGTGAGCACCAGGTGCAGCTGCTACAGGCCCCGCAACAATCGAATGTGGATTGGCGATGGGTCCAACAAGGTAATTGCCAATTTACCTAATTCTCAGGTCGTATTACTGATTTGAGTGTGCTTTAGGTGTGAATCTGATCAACGTGGCTCGCGATGATACTCGTCGACCACCTACCATGGGGCCGGGAGCGGAATTTGAACGGAAAGCTTTCATCGACGGCGTTGAGTACATACTCAAGGCTCTACCAGGAGATCTGAATGACATGGAGATCGACCGCCTTCGTGCCTCTTTGCCGAATAATCTCAGATCCCCTGCTGGTGACCGGTCGCATTCACCGTCACGCAGCCCGAGTGGACCGCGATCAATTCTCCACCGAGGCGTTCAGACGGCCGTTGTCAACATCTTCATCCTCATTCACCTGGCTTTACCATACATTGTCCTTCTCATCCGCCTGGCCGCCCGTACCGAGAGAGAATACAAGCTATCCGAGAGAGTTGTGGGTTCCGGCATGAGCTTCGCCAATACCGTTGGCAGCTTCGGCATGAGAACTACGGGCGCTCTTTACAACGTTGGTGACGGCCGGGTCGGACAAGCACTCACGGAAGCGATTGCCTGGACCGTGGAGGGGGTCACGGGCGGTCTTTCCGAAGGAGTTGGTGAGGGTCTGAGCATCGTGGGCGCGAAACGGCAATGATATGAACGATAAGGATACAGAATCCAACGCTACGAGATGCCTCTCGTTATTACCCAGAAAGGGCATTTTCTTATCATCTATCTTGGCTTTAGACTTTCGGAGTACATTTCTGGGTTTTGTGTTGGTTCGGTCGGCAGGTCTTTGGGAACGACTGGAAAGAGGAGTTCTTCTTTTGGACGATTTGAACATTACGAAGACCACTGTGGTCGAAGCGAGGTATGGGCGCTGGCTTGCTGGCGCGAGTCAGGATATGGGCGTTTCCAATCTACCTCACTTGAGAGAGATTTGATGATCAAGAGTGGTTGCATGCATTTATTCTGGTCAAACCCATCTAGCCGTCGGATACGGCAAGAGATGGGTGATACGGGTAGACACGAGCCTACGTAGAATTCTCGATAGCTCAAAATGAAGAAACACTATCATGACACTGACAGCAAACTGACTCGTTGACGTCGGCGCTGGTCCAGTTCGAGTTTGGGTTTCGCATGAGCGCCTCGGGATGGCCCCGGATTTCACATGACGGGAAAACGTAAGTGCAGAGAACGTGTGCTTCTTAATCCACTTGCCTGGGCCTCCCGCCTTACTGAAAGTTGGGGTTGCTGGGAAAAGTGCAGAGTTACTCAACCAGTTGATATATACCATGAGAAACCCCGGACAACGACTCTGTTGCGTTACCATCCATTTTCTTCTGTTTGACGCCAAACACTTCTACAAGGATCCAGTGTGCCGCCGGAGCCAACCGGGGCGCGCCCTTGAAGATCCACGACTGGTCCCTCGATGGACCCACAAAAAACTTATCGAAGACGTCTGATTAGGCCCGAGACCAAAAAAAAAATCCATCGCCTCCCATCCACCTCCCAACTATCGCAGTTCGACGGTGAAAAAACAGAGCAAGACGTCTCCGTCCCAGTACCTTCATTCATTCCCTTTTTCATTCAAACTACATTGTACTCGCTTCTTATCCAGGTTATTCCGCTCTAATACGTCTAAATGTTTCGCCAATCTCTTAGGAGATGTGTTCGCATCAGCGGCGCAAGCTTCGCCGCCCCTGCCCTCCGAACCACGCGACCGGTCGTCCTCAAGTCAATCGCCCAGCCCTCCCAGATTGCGCTTCGTGCGCCTGCCAGCTTGAATGCCTTCAGGCTCTACTCGAGCGAGGCCGCGGCGGCTGCTCCTGAGCAATCGGCCGATGCCCCCCAGCAGAAGTCCGGTCCCATTTCAAGATTCGAGGACCTGCGCACCCTGGGCGTCCACGACAACCTTGTCAACAGCATCACCAAGGGCTTGAAGTATGAGACCATGACCGATGTTCAGTCCAAGACTATCGAACCGGCGTTGAAGGGAATGGACATGTAAGTCCCGAATTACTTCTCTTCCAAAGTGATCACTCGCTAACTGACTTGTTCCAGGGTCGCCCAAGCCAAGACCGGTACTGGAAAGACGCTTGCCTTCCTCGTTCCTATCCTTCAAAGAATGATCTCCGCGGATCCCTCCCTCGCCACTCGTCGAGCGCGCTTCTCTGCCGACGCCTCCGACATCCGCGGAATCATCATCTCTCCTACCCGCGAGCTTGCTGAGCAGATCGCCGTTGAAGCCGAGAAGCTGTGCCAGGGCACCGGCTTGGTTGTCCAACGTGCTGTTGGCGGAACCCAGAAGCGGCAGATGCTTATGGAGACCCGCAAACGCGGATGCCACTTGCTTGTCGGAACGCCCGGTAGACTCAACGATCTCCTGAGCGACCGAAGCAGCGGTATCAGGGCCCCGAACTTGGCTGCCATTGTCCTCGACGAGGCCGACCGCATGCTGGATGTCGGCTTTGAGAGAGAACTGCAGGATATTGTTTCGCAGTTGCCCGACGCTAAGGAGACTCAGCGTCAGACTCTCCTCTTCTCCGCCACCATCCCCAGCAATGTCATTAACCTCGCCCGCCAGTGGGTCCGCCCCGACAACTTCGACTTTATCCAGACCGTCTCCAAAGACGACGTGCTTACCCACGAGAAGGTGAAGCAGCATGTTGTCAACTGCAGAGGCTGGGGCAACGTGCTTCCCTCCCTGTACGAGCTCATGCACACTGAGCTCGAGAAGCGTGCCAAGAACCCTGACCTGCTGCCTTTCAAGGCCTTGGTCTTCCTTCCCACCACCGGCTTTGTTGAGCTGGCCAGTGAGATCGACCGAAGCATGAAGCATATGAGAAGCCAGTACGACCGTGTCTGGAGCTGGCGCATTCACTCCAAGCTCACCCAACCAGCGCGCACCAAAGCTGCTGATCAGTTCCGCGCAGCGACTTCTGGAATCCTCTTCTCCTCAGACGTCACTGCCAGAGGTTTGGACTTTCCCAACGTAACCCACGTCATCCAAGTCGGCGCCCCCAGCGACCGTGAGCAGTACATTCACAGACTCGGCCGCACTGGTCGCGCGAAGAAGGAAGGCGAAGGCTGGCTCATCCTCCCCGAGTCCGACATCCGCAAGGCTCGTACCGAGTTGGCTGGCCTCCCGATTGAGCCATCCGTTCTTGAATCTGCCAAGGTCGATTTCACCAGGGGAGAGACGTCCAGTGAGATTACTAAGGCGGTAACTAAGGCTGCGTCCGAGGTTCCCGAGATGGTTCTCGATAAGGCCTACTTGTCTCTGTGGGGACAATTCGACACCAGAACGGCGCAAGCCAAGGCGGACGAGCTCAAGGAGTGGTGGGTTGATGGCATGCAGAAGGATGACGTGCCATTCATGAGCAGGCAAGCACTCGAGAAGCGCGGCATCAGAAACATTCGGGGCATGAACACCTCCTCCCCTAGAAGACCCAGTTACGAAGACGACCAGCCTCGTGGTTACGGTCGTGACTCTGGTCGCGGATATGGTCGTGATTCTGGCCGCGGATTTGGTCGTGACTCTGGTCGCGGATTCGGTCGTGATTCTGGCCGCCGTGCGCCTCGCGACGGATTTGAAAGGATGGAGCAAGACCGCTTTGGCGACAACAGAGGAGGCCGCCCTCAGCAGAGATCCCAGAAGGCATCTTTCTAAGCTGTAGTCTCTAGGAGAAAAGAACGATTGAAGTGGAGAGAGAGGCCCGTGATGGTGACGGGCCTCGAAACGTGTTAGACATATCATACCCCACCACACCCCCAAATTTCCCTTTGGTCTGTCTAGGAGGCAGATTTGTATCATAGACATGATTTTGTTACGGAGCCACGATAGAAGGTCAGTTTGGGGGGCGAAAAACGGGTTGTGCAGTTGTATCAAAATCATTGGGATGGAACCGAAAAGAAAAACCGGCTTACTGTACACCACGAAAGCTCACGACAGCCATGTACATATAATATTGGAGAAAATCTCCGAATCTCTTCTTTAAATAACGTTTCTTTTCGAGCTGGTGCTATGATTATGCTTAAATGCCTTAATGTCCCGTTCGTTTGTAGATGTATTCATTCCACATCGTCTCACCCCTCAGATACCTCCTTTTGCACCTACAACCTGCGGATATCAGTCATACAGACAGCAACGACAGCGACGATAGCCTTCATCTCCGGCCTCGATGAAGTCTTCCAAACCTGAAAACCTGGCTCCCACCAACGCCATTTGATGCTATTAGAGCGTTAACAAAAGCCATACAACCTCATGTTGGCAGCTCTTGTCCCGCAACACTACTTCTAGATCCCGAACGCCCGCCAAATGGTAAAAGCCAACGCACGATACGAAAACCCTTTACCGACCAGCCAGCAAGGCGTTCGCATCCCACAACAAAACCCTCTCGTCCCAGCCGACGGTCGCCACCCAACCCCCGACACCAAACAGGCACCAATCTACGCCCACCACAAACTCGGTGTGCCTGTTCATGATGCCGACTTGCGCTCCCACCTGCGCCCCGCCCGCCGGCCCCGCGGGCGGCGCATTCGAGCGATCGTCCCATAACCTGACGGTCATGTCGTAGCTCGCCGTCAGCAGCAGGTCCGCCGCGTGCGGGCTCCAAGCCAGTCTCCTGACGGCGTATTCGTGCCCCTGCATGACGGACACCGGCCCGGCCGTCGGGTTCCGGATGTCGAACGTGCGCACGGCGCGGTCCACGCCGCCGGTCGCGATGACGGTGTCGCGGTACTTGTTCCAGTCGTGCGTCAAGACCTCCGCGGGCGCCGCCGATGGGAAGCTGGGCCCGGCGGCGTGCACGGGGATCATGGACGTCAGGTGGTAGCGCGAGGAAACGGGGGTGCGCAGGTCGAAGATGCGGATCTGCGAGTCGGAGGAGACGGCGGAGATGATGCTGGGGTTGGAGGGCTGGAAGGCGGCGCTGTAGGTGCAGTTGCCGACGGGTAGGGTGCGCAGGGAGTGGTCGCGCGTCGGGGACCACAGCTTGATTGTGCCGTCCCAGGAGGCGGAGACGAAGGTGTCCTTTGTGATGGGGCTCCAGTTGACGGAGAAGGTCTCGCGCTTGTGTTCGTGGAAGTTCATGACGGGGAAGTCCTTGACGCCGAGGTCGAAGAGCTTGATGGAGCCGTCGCCGCAGGCCACGACAAGCTGGTTTTCGTTGATTTCGGACCAAGCGAGGTCATATTGGGAGTCGTTGGTGTCGAAGCTGTTCGTCGTGCAAGGTTAGCCATGTTAGGAACCGGATTGAGTGTTGACATTGAAGGTGAGAGGGGACTTGCGTTGCTTCGACCTCGACGCCGCGGGCTGTCAGGCCCAGGCAGAACACTCGACCATTTCCTACGATGCCAAAGTTGGCAGAAGATGCGACGGCGATGCGCGAGTCGTAGTAGGGCGAGTACTTTACGGCGTACGGGTTGTAGCCCTGTGTACGGAATTCAAGCATTGGGGCCATGGCGGCGGCGTCGGTGCAAGGCGATGCTGCTGCTGCTGGTTCGGGGGCCCGTGGTGTTTGTGAATTGGGACGGGCAAGAAGAGGCAAAGGGACCGTCACGGCAAAAGCATATGAACGCGGGCGGGACAGCTCTGTCCGGGCCACAGGGGCTGGTGATGTAACGCCGATCCGGGGTACCTCGGCAGGACGGGGGAGTGCTGGGATGAGGGATGGCGGGGTGGCTTTCAGCACTCCAAGGTATGCGTTTATCGGGTATGAGAGGGGCTGTGGGGCTAGCACTTTAGCAGCGCGCTCTAGACGCGCCTGGTCGATTACGCCCTTTGGCAGTGCGTCGTTTGTCCCCTTTTGCTGTACTGGCTTGGTTTTTATAGTCAAGGTTCCGCGCGAACGGGATCCAGCTTCGAATATGAAGCGGTTTCGATTTTCCCAGCCGGTGTATGACTACATCATGGAGCCTGAAAAGAAGCGGAAGCTCAGTCCTGCCTCGACCCAGCGCGCAGAGGAGGATGACGAGCCAACTGAGGTGAAGCTTGCGATGCTATCATCGCTTCACCCGAATGTTGAGCAGGAAATGCTGCTCGATGTTCTCTTGGCTCACAATGGCTCCGTCGCCGAGTCTCTGGAGGCACTCGCAACCCCAACCTCTGCCAAGAAACCCAGCGGCGTAATGGGCGCCCAGAGCTCGTTGAGGAATTTCGCCACAAAATCGGTGGAAAATGGGACTGGCGCAGAAAGCTCCGCGAAGAGGAGGTTACTGTCGAAGAAGGGCACCACGCTGCATCTCTACGACCCTGACGACATTGCAGAACACACCCCCTGCTCAGTCATCCACAACTTTCTCCCGGCCGAAGAGGCCAACGATCTCCTGCGGGAGCTCTTGCGGGAAGCTGAGACCTTTGAGAAGAACGTCACATTCAAACTCTTTGACAACGTAGTTGCCAGCCCCCACACCACGAGCTTCTATGTCGAGAGCTACGACGAGATTCAGCGGCAAAAGACGGACTACCTGTATAACGGCGCCAAACTTACCGACATCCGCCGCATCACCCCTCAGCTTATCAAAGTCAAGCCAAAGGTGGCGGAAGCCGTGAACGCGGAAATACAAAAGAGGATTGCGACCCGTTACCCCGGGGGCAAGAAGCTGCGGTTTCAGTCTCCCAAACCGTGGGCTCCCAACTCGGCGTTCGTCAACTGCTACGACGGACCGCAGGAGAACGTCGGGTATCACAGCGACCAGCTGACATATCTCGGCCCCCGCGCCGTCATCGGGTCTCTGTCTCTCGGCGTGGCACGAGAGTTCCGCGTGCGCCGCATCATTCCCAAGGATGGAGATAGCAACTCGGCCAAGGACCCTGATGCGGAGGGCCAGATCTCGATTCACCTCCCGCATAACTCGTTGCTGGTCATGCATGCCGAGATGCAAGAGGAATGGAAGCACAGCATTGCGCCGGCGCAGTCGATCGACCCTCACCCAGTCGCTGGAAACAAGCGCATCAATATCACGTACCGCGACTACAAGGCGAACATGCACCCTCGTTACACGCCAAAGTGCGATTGCGGCATCCCTTGCGTGTTAAGGGTTGTCCAGAGGAAGAAGGAAAGCCATGGGAAGTACTTCTGGATGTGCCATGGCGGAAACGCGCCTGGTAAAGAGAGTTGCTCGTTCTTCCAATGGGGGAAATTCGACGACGATGGCAATCCCATATGGACTCACGCGAAACCGAAACCTTCGGCGTGAACTTTTGTCTATTCTACAACACGTGCTATTGAACACACCGATCAGGGGTTCACATATGGGTTTGTGTCTGCCGGCTTGAGGTCTCCCGCACCGTTGACCTGGCGAATCTGCAGGCGCGTGAGGTCTAGCCCGTCAATGACCCGAGCGTTGACGGGATGCACCTGTTTGCACAACTTGTGGTAGTACTGCGCTATCTCCGCCATACCGGCGAGCTCCTCGTCGCTCAGGGACCTGCACTCGTTCGTCAATGGGACGCCGCATCTCTTGCAGAAGGTCTTGGCCAGGATCCCGTAGTTGAATACGTGCCGGCCAATCTTGTCTTCGTCTCCAGCCAATACGACCTGCTCGGCGGGGGGTTTGATCCAGACGTAACCGTTCTACACGCGGGTCAGTTCACGCTTTGCGCATGCGCGGTCTCCCTCGGAGAGAAAGAACAATCACTTACACGCGCGCAGATGCTGCAGTTGCACTCGACAATGCCTCCCATGAGACCTTCCCCTACCCATGTCTCATCCATGGGATTGCTGAACGCCGCGAAGGTGACATCGCCGCAGTGACAGCTGCCCGTGTACGCCTTCCCACCCTCAAATTCGGCCGGCTTGGAACCTTTGTGCGCATGAGGAGTGTACTTGTCTCCAAGCGACGCGCCGTCAAACCTGTCACTGTGTCAGCCTCGAACCGACTCTGTCGTGGTCTCTAAGAGGGCCCTACGGTTTCTTCTCGAGCGCAAAAATGTCCAGGTCTTGGATTGAGCGCACCTGCAGGTACCGTCAGCTTCTTGGCCGTTTGGGTCTGTGGGAGTGGATCGTGCGGCGGAGGATTCGAGACTTACATTCAACCCCAACTTCATACCTGGCGGCCCGTTGGGGAAGTCCACCATAATCTCGGTAGCACAGTTACCACAGAACTGAGCGGGCATCAGGATGTTTTCTTTCCGCGGATAATTTCGTCAGCTCACCTTATGGGTCATGTTTCCAGAGCCAAAGTTGTAGCTCGAGAGCTCGCTCGTGGCGCCCTTGACAACTTTGAAGTCTTCGGGAGCGGGCATGGCCCAAAGAGCGCCCTTCTTGGAGCAGATGCTGCAGTTGCAGTCGACTGCACTCTTGATCTCCGGGAGGCGGACTTCGTAGACGAAGGCGCCGCAGTGGCAGTTGCCGCGATAGGTTTGCTTGGGTTCTTCGGATGTCATGTTGGGCGAGGGGGGGAAGATTCTGCTGCTGGAGAGGAGATGAAGGAGGCAATGAGGTCTGGCAAAGATGAGATCAACATCTTGACAGCTCTCCGTCTCTTATAGAATTCAATACACACGATGCAAGAGCGTTTGAAGCGACCAAGGCTGCGTGCTGAGGGCTGAGATGGGTTTGCGTAGCCGGATTAGTCAACAGTACATTTTGTTGAGATGGAAGTGGATTGCTGACAGTCCACCGTGGCCTCATTGGTATTTCTTAGTGAAGATGTACGGTTCTCCGGCCCCAGGGATACTATTTTGAAGCTCGTTTCCGGGTCACCGACACGATCTCCGGGCGGCACTGATGGTTTTACGCTGCTGACTGCATAGAATAGCGCAACGCCTGTGCGACGTCGGATTTGGACGCCGTGACCCGCGTTTGTCGCATGCGAAGATAACGAATGTGCTTCAAGAAGCGGATTGCTGTCTTTACCTTCTGAGACTGAGACTCTTTGACTCATCTAAGCGGTTGCCGTTGCATCACACTTCATTGGTCCCTTACTGCAGCTCGCGACAGGCAGGAGTTGCGCCGCGCTTACGGTGTACATAAGGCATGTCGTTACAGCGCTTCAGCGTTGGTTGATTGTCTAGGCTGCCCGACAACTCGCAGGCCCAATAAGAGGTTGACTGACGGCTTACGATAGAGTCTTTGTGCGTGAGAAAGTATCCAATGCAAGACTCGGGAGTCATTCAGACGGCGTGTGAGATAAGCCAAGCAGGCAACCGCCGAAGCGGACGTCGTGTTGTTACCGGGCGAAAGGAAGGTTTCGGCGACCCAGCTGTTGGGGACCCGCGGGAGCTACTTTGGACATTTATCGGATTGGACTTAGAGGGCGATGTGGCATGTTGGGGTGAAGCTGTCATACGGAAATAGAGGCGAGGTGCAATTCGGATGTTTGTTGAGATGAACACCCTCGTCCACTGAAGGATCCTGAGCGGGGAGTTGAACAGGGAAAGACGGGTTGGGGGGTTTCAGTGTCCCCAGCACTTGGCCAGGGGCCGTCCCGTCCCGGCGAGTTTTTAGGGAAACCCGCCGAACCCCATTAATCTGGCGAGCGTTAAAAGGAAAGCTGACGACCGAAAAGGAGGCAGCCAGCGAGTTGTGCATCTTCCAGCAATGCCTTACGCGCTCCCGGGGCCATTCAAGTTCCGGATGGGTCCGCAGACGATCAACGGCCGCCGTGGTTGCGGTGGGAGGGCCGAGGAGGCGGAGATGACCAGCCCGGGCATATCGGACTTACACCCGTTGCATGTCATCGCCAAGAGAGGACGGCACACTGATAAAGCAAGCGAACCGACTTTTCGACCGTTTTGACGATTGCTTGCTTCCCTGCGTGCCTGCTTCGCATCTCGCCAAGCCGGCGTACGAAGCTCCAAAGATGATTGATAATCGCTTGATCAGTCACACCAAGCATTCCTCTCGATAATATCTCCATCCAATCGGCGGAATGCAGCGGGCGCCGTGGGCCAAGGAATTGCAGGCTTAACAGCCTATTCGAGTACACTTTGCCCAAGACGTCTCAGTTTGAGGACGAAGCCGTTCCTTTCCCCGCATACGATGAACCGCAGACACCCCCCCAAGACACATCCCCCCCTTAGATCAACGATCAACGATCAACCGGCCATCACGGGCTGCCATTTACAGATTAACGGGGCCAGGTTCCTGATTCGAGATAGGCCGCACGCTGTGTGGGATGGGGCCCCCCCGGCCGGCTCCCGCGGGAGAAGTCAACCTTATTACAACGGCTATGGTGCCAAGCTGATCGGCCGTTCGCAAGCATGCCACACCAGCACCCAATTCGTCCAAACGGCCCTGTTCCTTTCTTAAAGTGCAACTGTGGCTCCTCGTCCACCGTCGTCATTCCTCGTTTGCCTCACTCACTTTCCATCTCAAGTAAATCACCCCTGCCTCGAATGTCTTGCCAGCTGCCGTGCTGGGAAGTCACCCGCCGGCAGTTTGTTGCATCGCGTACGACGTGATTTGCTTGGCGAGCATTAGACAGCGTAACTCCCCTTTTGTGCTTTAAATTTGCCAACTTGGCCCTCGGTTGACAGTGCATCGGAGGATGGCTGGCGAGGCGGGAGTGCCAGGGCAAGACATCCAGCAGTCAGTCTGTCTGTCTGTCATCGCTTCGGCACTTTTGGTTTTCGCCATGGACTCGGAAGAGAATGTGAGGGAGGGTGATGTGATGGCCAAGATCTGCGAATTACCATCCCCGCTTCCGGTGTGCTAGGTTGAGAAAGGGAGGCTTTGAATCCTGGGATCCTCGTGCTGGGCGTGTGGGTGGTCCTTTACCGTTGCGTCAGGCAAGCGGGTGATTGCAGTGTTCTTGCTTGAAATGTATTTGAAGCCAGGCCCGACCCCTTGCCCCTGGGTGGTATCCAAGGACGGGGGTTACTCCTGCGCTCAAGGTCTTGCTCCGTCTGCTTGCTGTATCCATAGGAGCTCCTGCTCTCCTGACATCACCTCCCCAGGCTTTCTCTTTTAAAAGCCGAGTTGCATCCACACATCTCGGGATCCTCCCACAGTGTTTCGCCTCTCCCAGGCACATACATGCACAGCCAGGCCTAGGACAATCCTCGCTGTCTTCGGATCGACGTTCGACATGGCTTCCATCAAATCTGCCGTGACCGTTGTCGTGGCCGCGCTGCTCTCGCGAGTGGCTGCTCAGTGCCCAAACTTGACTCCTGTCTCGCAGCCCTCGTTGGCCGAAGGCTACTCTGCAAGACTTGTCCTGAACGGCCTTGATTCTCCGCGAAGTCTTCAATTTGACACCGAGGGAAACCTTCTCATTCTAGAGCAAGGTGCTGGCGTTCAATATGTCAAATTGACCGACAATGGCGGAACGGACGTCTGCGCGGCTTCTCAGAAGCAGCTGATTCCCAACACACAGGTATGTCAATCAACCCCCACGTTGGGGGATTTCCCGGGAGACGAACGAAACTTACAAAATCGCAGCTCAACCACGGCATCGCTTTGTCCGCGGATGGCAAGACGATTTACGCATCGTCTTCCACAGTAGTCTACGCCTACCCGTATGACGCGGCCGCCGGCACGGTCGGCCAGGCTCGTCCCATCATCAACATCCCGACGCAGACCGGCCACTCGAGCCGAACATTGTTGATCCCCAAGAGCAGTCCCAACTTCCTGCTGGTTTCGGTTGGCTCCGCGCCTAACCTCGACCTTCCGACGGCCGAGGTCTCTTCTGGTCGCAGCCAAGTCCGCGCCTTTGACCTCACTACGATCACCGGCGATCCCGTTGCTTACAACGATGGAGAGGTCGTGGGATGGGGCCTGCGTAACAGCGTCGGTCTCGCAGACAATGTTGACAGTGGAATCGTGAGTGTGCTCTAGTAACTTTGGCAGGGCATTGGCTAACGACACACGTCAGTGGACGGTCGAGAACTCGCTGGATAACATGGACCGGAGCGGTACGGATGTCCACAACGACAACCCCGGAGAAGAGCTGAACTACCACGGCATCTTCAACTCATCATCCAACGAGTTGAGTGGAGCAAACTACGGCTATCCCAACTGCTTCGCTGTCTGGGACACCACTACCATCCCCAATGTCCAGGTCGGAAGCCAGGTCACCCAGGGAACACCTTCAGGCGACGTGACAGATGCGTACTGCCAGTCAACACCTGTGGCACCTCGACTCACTTTCCAGGCCCACCTGGCGCCCCTCGATATCAAGTTCGAGCCCAGCGGAAAGGCTGCGTACATTTCCTTCCACGGTAGCTGGTAAGCACCTTCAGGACGGGACTTCGAAGTTGACGGAAGCTAACGTACTCGCAGGAACCGCCAGCCTCCTGATGGATACCGACTCAGCCGAGTTGACTTCGGAGCCGATGGACAGCCCACGGCCGCCTCGACGAGTCGAGAGGCAGAAGTCAGAGTGATGTGGAACAGCGACCAATCTGTCTGCCCCAACAGTTGCTTCCGACCTGTCGGTCTTGCATGGGACACCAAGGGTAGACTGTTCATGGTAAGCGACGCATCGAACGAGCTCTTCGTCATCACGGTCCCCGCCTAGAATGCGGGAGACCCTGGGATGTCGTGCCCGGCGTAGTCAGCTAACCACATCGCTGTGGATGGACTGGGAACAGTGTGTGGAGGTATGAAGAGGAGGATCTTCTATGCACATATTTACTGGAGCTTGGTGGCCGGATGCCCTGCACATAGCTTAGCTACGCCGGCAATACAATTCACGTTCGATTGTTGTCTACTCACAGATGACCTGGCTCGCCTGGGGGGGATGGCTGGCTTCAGTCCATCTGCCTACCGTCGGCGCATGTCGTTACAAAAAGAAACCCCAACCCTCAAATGTCTTTTCTCTCGCAAGGAGAAGGCTGTCTGTCAAAGGACGAAACGAAACAGTTCCTCTTATCAAGATTGCCGAAGACAGACAAGCGGGGGAAATGTGCCTCGTTGCCGTGCAGCAGCAGAGAGGACGACCCTTGCATCGGCCCGGGCTGCAGTGGACCAAGCGGGGATCTCCCAGTGTGTTTGTGCTTCTCCCACTTGGGCATAGTCTGGTGCGTTTTTCGCTCTCAGCAGCAGTCTTCCCGTATTGATTCGCGTGGTGAGGTGCGACTGGCCTTGGGAATAGAAGGGCAAACGCAAGTGCAGATGCTGTGCATGCCGTAAGGTAGTACGCTTCCTGGTAGCGCGGTGCTCCAATCAGGTGTCACGCCAGCTCTCTCAGGTCTCACACGTCCAACCAATCTTGCCTGGGCACCCTCTCCCACCCGTCCCGTCCGTCGGCGTCCCTCTCGCTCCCGGCCAGTCTTAATCCAACACACTCACTCATTCTGCTCAGCCTGCCTGATTATTGCGTTGCGTCCCCATCCCACGTTGGGCTGAGCCGCCAAAACACTCGTTTGCCGCCCTTCATCCATTCTCGAACCTGTGGTTCGTTTCGTCTTCATTCCGACGCCCAGAGGCTTCACCGGTTGTCGACGCCCGCTAACCGCAACGCATTTGTCTCAGCCTCTGCGACACTGCAACGTCGGAACCCACGGTCTGTCGAGGCGTCGTCACGCGCGCGCATCGTGCTGCACGAACTGTCCTCGCCTGCCTGATCCTTCATTCGAACTCCCCACGCACATCATTCGCTTGACCCGTACCGTCCGACATTTGGGCTCGCGACATTTGCGACTCAGCCCTACGGCCCGACTTTTCGCGTCTTCGAGGCGCGCAATCTTTGCGACACGCTGCACACAACCCTGCGCACATCGCCCACGTCACTCGACGCAAGCGCAAACGCAAATACGCCGACCGCGACTGAGCGCACGAGATGCCTCTCATCAATCGGCAAAACCTCGACGACGATGTAGTGGTCCCGGCCCACTACGGCGGCTGGTCACCGCTCAGCCCCGGCGCCGTGGTTGGCGTCACGCTCGGCGCCGTCGTCGGGTTCCTCCTCGTCCTCTGGATGTTCTACACCTGCATCAACTTCGGCCGAGCTCCCGTCGAACCATCATCATCATCGTTGTACACACCCACCGCGACATCGGTTCTCTCAGTTCGGTCTCGGAGCCGACATCACCGCAAACACCGCAGTCCGGCTCGTGGGCCGAGAATAATCGCGACGGAGGAGGTGAGGGTCCGAGAGAGGGACAGCGTGAGTCGGACTAGGGGCGGACCGATCATTGTTGACGCGGATCCGCCGATGGTGGAGCGTAGAACGAGCCGGGGACCGCCGCCTCCCAGGATCGTGACAGATGAGGAGGAGGAGGTTGTCGTTATCGAGGAGCATGAACCTGAGAGGAGGCGGAGGAGGAGACACAGCAGTTCTCACAGGCACAGCAGCCGACACGAGAGCCGGAGACGTAGCAGTCGCGACTACTAGGGCAGAGAGGATATACCTGGATTGGGTTGTTGAGTTGTTGGGCCTTTCGAGTCATGGGGGAGATGTTGGGCATACGATATTGTAATGGATTCACCCTGCTTCGTGATGGACATAAGTTTTCGACTGCGACGCGTGTACTGGGACGACAAAGTGTACGAATGTTTGTGTGAGAGATGTCGGTTTGGCATGTGAGCGCAGCGGTCATGCGATTATACGTCAAACGGACCGGGGAATTTTCTGGGGAAAGGGGCCCCTTCTCTCGTCTAGAGATCAGACGGAAGAATGACAGTGGCGCCGTTCCTCGGATGCGGGATGGACCTGGGCGTGTTCGGTTTCGATACGAAAAGAAGATGCCCGCATTCCTCACCCCGGAAGAGTTGTTGATGTTCAGCATTACCCGAATACGGAAGAATTTCAGAATCTTTAACCCTCCACGATCGACGGCGGGTGTCGTCCGGCGCGTGACGACGCTTGAAGCGGCCTGAAGCGGAGCCGCGACACCATCCCGAAGAGCGAAGAGGTTGCCTGTCGGAGGTTTCGGGCTCTTTTTTGCTTCATGTTCATTCGGTGATCTCTTGATCATTCTGTTGGGCTTATCGAACAGGTCGGCTGGTGGGGCGTTAGGGGTTCTGGGTGTTACTCCGTGGTTGAAGAGGGTTTGCTAGTCTGCCAGGCAGATATGCACGCGGATGCTCATTGATTTACACTGAATAATGGCTGCATGTTTTTTCCCCAGAGCACTTTCGTCCGAATATTTGTTTCCCTTGCTCCTGGATGGACTAAAAGCGCACCTACCAAGATGTGGGTGCGCCCAAGCTAAGCCTCGGCGCGGCTTGACATCTCATGCACGGCATCTGCATGGTGCACAAGCCGCGCCAGGCACATTGAGCAAAAATATCACAAGATCATCGAGATCCCGGGTGGCGCACCTTCTTTCTACGCCTCTTCGTCGCTCTCGCGCCCATGGAGCCCTGATGACATGGAAGGGGAAGGGAGAAAAAGGGTAGACTTTCCTCGTCAATTTTGACACCTCTGACCACCTCAAGGGGGGTGTGGGAACTAGGGAAGGAAGCATTGGCCAATGACAGGTGCGGCACCCGCATTTCACATGCTTTCCCCGGACTGGACGCCATGCTGCTAATAGTTTCAGAATGACATCACCTGCGAGCTTCGGCTCGCCGGGGGGTAGCAGCGCGCAGGAACTCAACCGGCGTGCCTGCTTCGCTCCAAGTCACCAGCTAAATGGATTAGGTTGTTCATGAAAGGGGGAACAGACAGCAAATCAGGCAACCAGTGCTGGCGAGTTAGTGGACAATGCTAGCTAACCATCATTCCGCCCCTTCTCTCGGCTTGCACGCCCAATCAGACGTACCTTCTGAGACTTGAGGAGAGCTCCTTTCTCTGAGACATCATAGCTCCCACCTACCTGCCTACCTTACCCACCGTCTCGTTGTGAGCGTCTTCTTTTTAACATTTGACTTTCCTCCACGCTGCTCCCATTTGCTCTTCTTACTTTCTCCCCGTCATCACACTCGCAACGACATCCTTTGACGTCCATTGCCCTTAGAATCGTCATAAGATATTGTCGCGGCCACGACTCCGAATACACACAAGAAGGCTAATAGCAGTCGCGAGATCGCAGCTTTCAGGGCGCAATGGAGCATCCAGGTATGTAACCATGTGCCACGAATCCCCCCAAACCCCCGGTCTATCCTGTACGACACCTCGCAACCCCAGCTGTAGATCTAGCCAAGATTGCGCGATGTATCCATACCATCTTGATCACCCTCGCAGACTTGCAGAGCCTCAACCCCAATCCTCGTGTAAAGAGTTACGTTCTGACGATGCTCAGTGAAGGAAATCAGGACGGTCATTCGCGACTTGGTCCAAGGCTCGCCCAAGGAGCAGTATGACGCCCTCTTCAACCACTTCACCGAGGACGCCGCCTTCACCCACCCCTTCTGCCACGTGCCAAGTTTTGGCAACGTCGACATTCCCTTCCTCTTCACCATCAATTCACGGTGGCTCGTCCTCATGATTTACCGGTGGTACCGCATTCTGAGTCCCAACATTGCCATGAACATCGAGTCGGCTGGTAGGTTCATGTCCTCGTCACGATACATCGCGAGCAGAGATACTCACATACACACCCTGAACAGTCCTAGATCAAAGAGCAAATCTTCTATACGTTAAGATGAGCCAAGACTTCCGGCTATGGTTCGTTCCTTTCTACTCCGCCCCTGTCGACTTCGTCGTCGTCCTCCGTCTCGAGACACGCAACGTCGATGATCAAAACCGGCCTCTGCCTCGCAACCAAACCGACGCTTCTGCCGTCGGGGCCCGCCAGCGTCACTTCATCATCCACCAGGAGGACCACTACCAGGTGGGCGAGTGGCTTAGGTTCCTTGTCCCCTTCTTCGGATACTGGGCCTGGCATGTCCTTACTCTCTTTTCCACGATCCTGTGTGCTGCCGGCGCCCTGATTGGATACCCCGTCACCCGGTACTTTGACTGGCAGGCCACAACGCAAAACGGCGCCCAGGTGAATAAGGCCGACTAGTGCGAGATCTTTTGCTCCAGGTTGCACCACCTTTTAGAGCGTCTCCGCTCTTTGGGGCGCCGCCTTTTCGAGCTCCTCCGCCCCTTTGCCGAACGCGTGCTAAATCCCCTACGCCCCTTGGTCCACCGCGTTGCCAAATGGCTTCAAACCACGCCTGTGGGAAACTTCGTGAGGAACCAGATTGGTCTCTTACTTCTCTTACTTTACGGGGTCGTATATGGTACCATGGGCGTCATCTTGTTTGTTGCGTGGCCGTGGTATTTGCTCTACAAGAAGATCTGCAACGTCGACGGAATGGACAATAGCGAGTAGTACACTGAGGAAGAAGTGGCGTGGATGGAGCTGACATTGTAGGCAAAGGGTGGTTGTGTACAGCAAGGTTATTTGCGCTTGGTCGCAGAAAAACGTCTGTAATTAATTGTTGATCGGCACTATGCGAACCTTGTATTGTCAGAAGGACGGCAGTTTTCTGAGCAGGACGTCGTGGTTGGAAGAGTCATTCCAGAGACATCATGTTATAGCAATCAATCCCAACGTTTTACTTCCGCTATCGTCGCTGGTGTTATCGTCATTGTCGTTGTATCAAGTAACAGTCCAAAACGCCGGTCAGTGAATACACAAGGAACTGTGGCTGCGAAGACACAGGGAAAATAGGCGGTCTTATAATCAACCCACTTCAAATTCAAACCTGCTTCCGGCTCATCGCCTAGCTTCGTCTCGTGCTCTTTTTTTCGCGCGCTTTTTTGGGTATACCAACACAAACAGCCACAAGAGGGCTGGCTGACCAAAAGAAAAGTCCAAACCACACATTCACACAAGTAAGCCTTCCTCCTTTTTGTATATACCGCGTGCGTTGCCCTCCTCCTCCTCCCTCCGTCTTTTGAGCTATATGCAGAGTGCTTCGGTCGAGACGCACTGACTAGTCTTCTTTTCATCTCCCAACGTGATCTGTTCTAACTTTTTGTCATGGCCTCATCGTGTAATAACTTCATGCGTATATACGCCCTTGCAAACTTGGATAGATTTGCCAAACACCGTAACCTGTGTACGGCATACGAGTGGTGGTAGATTAGGCGGGCCCTTACATGCCACCACCGTTCGCATTAGCACCGTTGGCGCCTTGTTGATCTTGCGGCTGCTGTTGCGGCTGTTGCTGCTGCTGTCCTCCAAAGAAGAAGCCGTCGAATATGTTCATCTGCTGCCCGTCGCTGAAGTCGTGGTGCATGTTGTCCCAGTTGATGCCGAAGCCGAGATCGAGGTTCGGGGTCGTGCCGTCGCCGCCGGCGCCGACTTCGCCGTTCGGGTTGCCCTGGAGGCTCTGGAAGAAGTCCATGGTCTGGATGTCGGGGTACTCGCCGCCCATGTTGTTGTTGTTGTTGTTGTTGTTGTTGTTGTTGTAGGAACCCCCCTGCTGTTGCTGCTGTTTCTGGTTCATGAAGGAACCGCCGCTGCTTGACCTCTGAGCCGCCATGCGACGCGGCACGGGTGGCGAGGCGACGAAGGAGGGATCGATCTCTGAGGGGCTGCCCTGGCCCATCATGTTGAAGTCAGCGGCGCGCGGCGAATTGCGCGGGGGCAGGTCGCCGGCGACCGACAGGCTCGGGGAGGAAAGCGTGTCTGAGAGGGCGCGGTCGGTCTGGAAGCTGCCTTGCTGGAACTGCTGTGGCGGCTGCTGGCGGCGGCGGCCCGGGGCGGCGCTCGCTGTCGACGTCGAGGCGCCGTCGCCGCTCGCGGAGCTCCATTCGAATCTGTTCTCGCGCATCTTGCGCGGTGGCACGGAGCCGAAGCCGCCGGTGGAGTTAGCCATCTTGATGGTGGCCTTGGCCGTGCGGTCAAAGGCGTCGCGGCAGGTCTCTGCGGGCGGGCACTTGTCGATCAAGTCGGTGAAGACGGACTTGGCGGCGAGGATGGTGAAGTCTACTTCGTCCATTGTCTCGAAGGGCCATGTCAGTACTTATCAAAGCTGGGTTCGGAGAGGAGGGCCGACTTACCAGGCGGCTTCTGACGATTGGCGAGTGCCAGATTGCGTAAAGGTATGAGATACCGGCCATGAAAAGGTGGTGGGTGGAGAGGTACGTGTAGCTGACGAGTCCGCTGAGGTGCAGCTGTCGGTAGATGCGCAGGATCTTCTGCCCGGCCTCGGCGACCTTGAGATAAATCCTGTCCTCGTCCTCGCGCAGCTCTGCCTGGAACGCCGTCGGGCTGTTCACCTCGTTAGACGTGTTGTACTCGCCCTCAAACATGGCAGGAACGCTCAGGCTCTGGCGGTACAGCATGATGATCGCCTGCCAGTAGTTGAGCTCCAGGAACTCCGTGGAGAAGGCCACGCCCGTTTCTTCCCTTGTCGGCGCCGAGTTCTTCCACTGGTACAGCCGCCGGTCAATGTCGATGCGCCAGGAGCGGAAGGACTCGAACTTGACGAGGAAAGGTGACGGCAGGTGGGTGTGCATGTCCGAGTTCGTAATGTTTTGGCCCGAAGCCCGCACGACTTGTGTCTGGTTGTACTGCAGAACCTGCAGTATCTCGGACTGCAACAGGCGTAGCTTGAAGTAATGGTATGCCACATGTTTGTAGCTCGGCTCGGCCGAGTCTGGAGGCATCTCCAGGAACCCGGTAGGGGTGATGTACTGATCGTCCAGCAGCGAGGGGAACTCGGTGGTGATGACCTGGTCGCTGATGCCAAACGGTCGACCCACGCACGTACTGACCAGGCGGTCGAGGGAATATGTGCACCACCAAAGCCGCCGCCTCATGTCACGGATGAACAACCGTCTTCCCTTTTCGCGGGACCGCGTCTCACCCGACTCATTCATCTCGCCATTCTCCTCTTTAATCTTCCCCAGCGGGTCCATCATGGCTTTCGCTACGTCGCTACCATCCTCATAATGCAAGCCTAGGTCTACGGCCAGCCTAACAGCGACGCCAATTATGTACCTGCAAGGCCGGTTAGCGTACACGTTACGAAGATCGCATGAATCACAGGACAAAACTCACCAAAGACCCGGCGGGACGGGCCGGAGGAGCGCAAAGTTGGCCAGCAAAAGTACCGCTTGCAGAACCTCCAGCCCGCCGCCACTATTGCCAAGACACGCCTCGAGATGTACGATAGCACTCGCGTGATATTCCTCGGGCTGAGCCTGGCCAAACTTATTTGCGTCTGGCGGATTACGGGGCCCAGCACCTGAACCGTCTGATTTCACAGGCTCGCCCACGATGACGCCGCAGCCAATGGCAAACACCATGTTCAACATGTATAGTTCCCGCGGTCCTTTCGGCCCGCTCGGGTTGGCGTACGCCTGTTCGAACATTTGCATAAACTCCCCGCGATGGAGGATGGGTATTTGGGGGTTGGCGTGCTCAAAATAGAGCGTCACAAGCCTCATGCCGACATCACGGTCTGGGAAATTCGCCGGACGGATCGTGGGTTTAGTGTGGAGGCCAAAGAAGGAGTCGCGCATCGACGTCCCGCTGCCGATCGGGAGGCCTTTGCCCGCGCGGTCGGAACCATTCTGATCCGATACGGAGTACTGCACGGCGGCGAAAACGACGCGGTTGAATGACACGCCCGAGGCGGACGCCAAGGACCGCGGCTTCGACGGGGCGACGATATCGAGCATGCCCGTCTGCGCCCCGCCCTCGGCCTTCTTGGCCTTCTCCAGGTCAGGGCGGTGGACGCTGCCGTTCTTCGCGGGGCCGTTGCCGTCGATGCTTTCTGAACGCGCCGAGTGGCCGGGGTCTGTGGTCGATCTCGGAGGTTCGGTTCCGGGGCGTGAGCAGAGCTCGAGGTTCTCGGCGGGTGGGAAGAGGATGTTGTTGTTGGCGAGCAGCGCTTCCAGCTGCTCCACGCGGGTTTCTAGATAAAACACATAGCTTCAAGGACAAAGTCAGCAGCCTTTCAATGTCAACGATACCACCATGGTGTATGGTGGACTCTACGTGAAGAGGCAGTAGTAACCCCAGTTGCTCGCGCCGTACCTTCTGGGGATCTCCTTCTTGGTGATTGGATCGTAGCCCACACAGGCGACGCCGGCCTTTGCGCAGCTCGCACAGCTGGGCAGCTTCTGGTCGCACCTGTTCTTGCGCAGACGACAGCGGTTACAGGCGCTCACGTTGCGAAAGTTGCTGCTCTGGCCCGGCTTCCCGCCCGCCTTGTCGGCCAAGGCTGCGCCGGCGCCGGCGCCGGCGATGGCGTCGTGTTGGTTGTCGCCGGACGGGCTCTGGTCGTTCCCGCCCGAGGTCGGGGAAGCGTCGTCGTAGGAGCCCTGGCGCGGACGCTTCGTCGGCTTCATGACCGGCGAAGGCGGCGAGTGGGCGGGCATTGCGTAGTTTTGGGCGTGCGCGCGCGCGGGCGGACTCGGCGGCGGCGGCTACGGAGGGGACGTCGACGAGGGCGGGTTGGGAGAAGGGACGGGATTGAGTTTGGAATTATTTTCCGGGCGGCGGCCGGCCCGGTCGAGGTCCTCGGTGAAGCAGGGATGAGGAAGGTGTCCAATCAGAGTACTGGTAAGGAGAATTGTGCGACGGTCTATCGGGTTGAAGGCTTTGATCAGCGTTAGGGAAGTGGGCGGTTTGTGAGAGGTGACGATTTGCAGCGTTGTTGGAGAGGTTGGAGGGAAAAAGAGACGTCGGTGAGGCTCACAAAGTGCTGGTACACTGCTATCGCGACGTTATCTTGACTTGCGCGCAGGCAGCTCCACCCATCATTCGGTAGTGGCACCGATGGGACTGCCCGCGCTGCAACTGCTGAAGAAGGGATCGTTATTTTTTTTTTTTTTTTTCCCTTCCCCTCCAAGGTACCTTCCCAGGATATCCTATCTCTTTTTTTACTAAGGCAGCGCTAGAATTTTGGGTAATCGAACGGGGTGGCGGGGTGGCCGGTACGGCAGTTTTTTTTCCAGATGCGACTCCGTTGGAAACGAGACACCGACAATGTGTGCTGCTTGCTCAGGTGGTATTCACGTCGAGTCTGAAGACGTGACCGAGACTCGGGTGGCAGTTGGCAAGAATGCGCATGTCGAGGCGGGGGAGACTGACGAAGGCGGGCGGTGAGGATGCGGGTTGAAGGTAAAAAGACAGACCCAACAGCGCCGAGGTTGAAAGAAGAAAAGAAAACCCGGCGCGAGAGTCACAGAGCGTCCGGCGTGTTGCTGCAGGATATGAGAAGCAAAAGAGTGGGCATTTGCAACCTTGCCTGAAAAGCGTCGGTGAAATGGGGTGGATTACAAGTGCGGACGGGCAAGGCAAGATTGAAGGCACCTTTCACACACACACACACACAAAGTTGCTGTAATAAGGGTGTGATGCTAAAGCAGGCAGTGCGCTAGCTGTTGGGCAGGGGGATTCCAACCTGCCAGGCCAGGATATAACTTTTTCGTCAACTCCAAACACCTGCTCACTAATACTTTTTCCAGGCTCAGCTGATAAGCGCACAGGAAGCAGAGGGGATCGTCTGCGAGAGGCGCGCCTGTGGTAGAGAGTGGAGGTAGTAAGCCTCGAGTAGGAGCAAAGAAGAAAGCGGCAGAACGTGAGAAGTGACGGCCTGACTCTCTGTCACAGTTGGATTACACCTAGTCTGTGGCCTCTGTTAGTAGTTGCTTCTTCTTTACAGAATGCAACTGGCGGTGGGTAAGGACCTCATCGCCCTCACACAGAGTCATGCCTAGTCCAAGCAAGGTGCGTATCCAATTGCACTGACACGCTCTTCTCTTCTTCATCAAAAGCCTGGAAACTTGAAAGACAGCGTCCAAAGTCAACATGTAGTGCCCCCCCCCCCCCCCGCACTTGGGGGGAACATCGAGATCCCAGCCGGCTAAACCGGATCCAGCAACTCATCCCGCGCTGGCGTCGAGAAAGCACTCTCTGGATTGGACGCTTCACTGAAGTTTTGGGCTTGGCAGATTGACGGCCGCCGGGTATCAGTTGACACTGCTTGAGCTAAGCACCTGTAATCAACGAATTGCCATTGATTGATACCACGAGAAGAAGGGGTCTGCCACAGACCTTCGCCAGCGCTCTTATCTATCCGTCCCAGCCGCAGGCCTTCTCTAACACCACCGTAACTGAAGAAATGGAATAATTATCTTCACCCCGTGCTGTCGCGTGCGCCGTTCCCTACTTTGGACCGACCTCCAGGAACGAATGCGACAGCTGTGCAGAAAGCAGAGAAAACAAGGGTGAATGTCGTCTTCATGCGGTCGTGATCATCTTGCCGAGGATCTAATCTTTCCGCCTACCTTCTTGTTCCCTTCAGAGATATCACGCTGGCGTGTTTAAGTACCTTGAGCCAACGTTCGTGCGTGTAAGTCAAAGTCCGGCTTAATCCGCCTATTGCCGCTGCCAACGCAGCTGCCGATAATCGGTGGCCATCCTCACGGCCAATTCATCGTCACCCTCACTGACCTCATAGGTGCAATTGAACATGATCTGATCCAACCATTCAACCAGCCATCAACAAGTACCGAGGTGGCATTAACGACCTCCCAACTCAAGCTTAGCACAAAATCCTCTCAGCCGCCGTGGGTGGCCAGCTGTCTTCTAGCCTCCCCATGCTCCCCGTCCTGCCGTTATCGACTCCTCTCCAGCTGTCCCAGCCGTCCCATCACCAATGGCAACAAGTGAACCCTTCGTGCCCCCCCCCCCCAGAGCGGGGACCCAAGGGACCAAAAAAAAAAAAAAAAAAAAAAAAAATAATAAATCGTGAAAGGTCCTACCACATGTCAATTGCGCTCACAAAAAAAGGAAACATGCGTACACAAAACTGCACAGCCGGGGGGGAAACAAAAACGTCGTCAGCCTCGATGGGGCCCCGTCAAGTTCCAGACCAGAAATAGAACCACACTCAATCAATCCAAAATCTTCGGACGGCCAAAACCCCCCACACCGGGAAGTCCGTTAGTGTTCCAAACAGAAGAAAACGACGCTACCGTTCCAAACTCATTGATCCAGCACCACATAAAAGCAGAACGAACGCATGAAAGGGCTGTGGCAAAGCCCGCCCATGCATTACCCCAGCGGCCTTCAGACAATTATAGTAGAAACGGCTGGGGGGTGATGGATGGATGATAGGCCCTCGTCCTGGAAACCAGAAAACTCTCCTGCTACTGCTCTTCGGATGAACTGAACATAAGATAGATGCCGGCAGTATAGACCAGCCGACATAAAACGGCGCGCGATGGTTAGCAAACGACCCCTGTGAATAGTCTACCCCAGATCTGCTCAAAAATAGAGAGACCCCTCCAACGTAGCATCTATCCATCGGCCAGAGGGCCTGGCTTACATGCAGGCCCGCCAAGGCTTGTGGTATCTCATGGCAAGCATGTTTAACTGCATCACTCATCTCGATCTCAATTCACACGTCCAAGTTTGAAGTTTTTTTGTAAAATGTTTGTCAAAGTAAGGGGATCGTCCCCATCAATTCTCTAAGTGGTCATTAAAACATAGGAAGCGGCCTTCGCAGGCCTGCCCCCCTAGCAAGAAAGAAAATCCCAAGAGATCACAATCCTCCGTCATCGCAGATTCCCGGTCGGTCGGTCTCTGGTATCCAACAATGCCATTCGCTTTTGTGCCCTCTCTTGTCTCTCTTACTCTCAACGTCGATTCCTGGACTTCCATGGTATCTCCAACTCCTTTGGTCCAAATAGATCCAAACAATAAAAACACAGGTAAACTCGGCTCAGGCGATTGGCCTGGCCATACATGGTGGTATGAGCTCGAAACGCCCCCTAAGTCTGTAATAAAAAAAAGAAAAAGAAAAGAAAAGCAAAGAGAAGATTCTCCTCCATGCTGCCCGCTGATGGAAAATGGGGAATAAAACAAGTGACAAGTCGTGAGAAATTCCCGTGTATGCTCTCTCTCCGCTTCCGTCCGAATTATATCGCGTATTCCAAAAGCTCTTTTCCTCTTATCCTGTCGTGTCCCGTGAACGATAGTCTATGTCTTGGTTGCCCTGTTCCCGTCGATAACGCCGAATGATGAGAAACGCCGGTGGCTTGGTTGTTAAAGGCAGGGTCATGATGTTGCGTAACGCCTTTGGCGTCGAAATCGAAAATGAAAACAAAAAATTCAGTCGTAATCCGGCTTAACGTCTGCAGCTGGGGCCGGCCTCAACCTCGTACTCCTCGTCGTCGTCCAGGGGAAGCAAAAGTCCCTCGGTCTCAGTAGGCTCGAGGGCCGTCTCGATGTCCTGTGTCGGCTCGTCCAAACGTCCACGGGGCTCGGTGGCGTACAAGCTGAGAACGGCTCCGATGATGGTGATCGCACCGCTAGTCCACCATGCGAGACCAGAGTAGCCGATTCGGAGGCCCAAGGCGTAAAGAAAGCCAGAAACGGTGGGACCAAGGGCTCTGCACAAGCTGGCCGTGGAGGCAGCGACGCCATTGATCGTTCCAAGGGAGAGCAGGCTTGGTGCGGAGTTGGTAAGGAGGATAGCGTTGCTGGGGTAGGCCATGGTTGAGAAGGTGCACTTCCAGATGACCATCATGTAAATGCCAACCATTCGAACGTTGCTCGGCAGAAGGACGAGGTATGGGGTCAACATGTACAGCATGAAATAAGAGATGGCGAGCATTCGGAATAGGCGAAGGGGTCCGAGGCGTCGGACGACCATAGGGAAAATGAAGACGGTCGAGATCATCGAGTAAACGCCTTGCACGGAGAGAATGACACCAATCTGGCTGGTTTCCATGCCGAAGCCGTCGACGAACTTGAAAGGAAGGTGGATATCCTTGTGCTCAGGCGAGGCGGTGCTGAGAAAGACGGGGAAGAGCTGATCGAAGGTCATTGTGTGGCTAGCGAGGAAGTCAGTAACAACTCGGTGACTTCGGTCGAGAGATACACTTACAAAGCCAGAATGCCGTAGGAAATGATGTTTAGAACAACCGGTCGCGTGAAAGTCTTGGTTGGCTCAGCAGGCGTCTGCTCAATTTCCTCACACGGAGCAGCGCTCAAGTCCAAAGTTTCCGTGAGTTCAGGAATCTCAGAAGAGGATCCAACAAGCTGGGGCGAGTTCTCGTTCGTGCGGTATCCGGGGAGGTCGTCGTCGTCAAGCAGGGCCTGCTTCTCAGCCTTCCGCGCCGGGATCTGGCAGCTGCCGAATGAGAGCCACGAAGAGATGCGCTTTCCAAGCTCGACACCAGCATCTCTCCTCTTCTTGCGCTCCGCATGCGTCTCCTCCAAAAACAAAAGTCCAATGATGACGCCAAAGAAGACCGTGATGGCGCTGAATAGGTTAGGCAGAAGGTAAGGGAAGCGCTCCCAGATTGTTCCCTCAGGGAACAAGCTGGGAAAGTTGACGCAAGGTTCGGCGAGCGCACCGCCGATC